GAAGTCAAAATTACTTAAGGACTCTGTACCTTTTTCTCTTTCTACACACAGATTGCATCTATGTTATCTTACACGTTCCTCTGCATTAGAAACCAAAATGGCCTCCATACTGGATTGGCTTCCACATAGTAGCTCTATCCTTTATCCTCCCTTCTGCTTCTGTTACATCAGTAAATTGGGTATTCTGCAGTAGGCTTTTCCAAATGAGAAAAAAAGGTAATTTTTTTTTTTTTTTTTTTGAGACGGAGCTTGCTCTGTCGCCCAGGCTGGAGTACAGTGGCGCAATCTGGGCTCACAGCAAGCTCCACCTCCCGGGTTCATGCCATTCTCCTGCCTCAGCCTCCCGAGTAGCTGGGACTACAGGCACCTGCCACGATGCCCTGCTAATTTTTTGTATTTTTAGTAGAGACAGGGTTTCACCATGTTAGCCAGGATAGTCTCGATCTCCTGATCTCGTGATCCACCGGCTTCAGCCTCCCAAAGTGCTGGGATTACAGGCATGAGCCACCGTGCCCGGCACCAAATGAGAAAATATGGTAATTCTTTACTATCTTTATCCACTCAAAAAGCTTCATTTAAAGTTGATGGAGGCCAGGCATGGCGGCTCACGCCTGTAATCCCAGCACTTTGGAAGGCCGAAGCAGATGGATCACTTGAGGTCAGGAGTTTGAGACCAGCCTGGCCAACATGGTGAAATCCCATTTCTACTAAAAATACAAAAATTATCTGGGTGTGGTGGTGGGCACCTGTAATCTCAGCTACTCAGGAGGCTGAGGCAGGAGAATCGCTTGAACTTAGGAGACGGAGGTTGTAGTGAGCTGAGATTGCGTCACTGTACTCCAGCCTGGGTGACAGAGCAAGACTGTCTCAATAAATAAATAAATAAAAATAAAGTTGATGGAAACAAGAAATCAAATCTAGCCTCAGTTTAGGACAGAGGTTTCAAATGAGTGACCTGCAGGTCAAGTCTGGTCTGCTGATGTGTTTTCTTTGGCCCACACAGTATTCTGAAAAATCAGGACTGCTTACATCAAATCTACATTTCCAGCCTCCCAGAAGGTAACACCGAGTCCACAGTCCTGCATAATAAAAGTTGCGTGGAATTTATCACAATTGTCCCTTTCAAAAAGTCCTCAGATCCTCCTTTCCCTGACTGTGATACATTTCAATCATTTACAGTAGTGCCAGACCTCTATAGGTAGACACAGATCCTCTAGGTAGGGAGGGTACCTGTAGATAATTATCAATTTAAAAAAATGAAAAAAATTATATAAAAAATAGTGTCTTTTTTATGTATCCAATATATTTTTATTCAAGAACACAACACATTATAACTACTAGCAAATTGACAGTTTTATATTTTCAGTAGTGCTACACCGAACATTTGTTAAATGCTGTTTTTTTCTGAGAAAGAATGGAAGAAACGTACGAGCTTTCTATGAAATGTACAAAGTTAAAAAAAAAAAATAAGGCCTCTGCTATGATTTTTGACTTAACATATGCTTTAGGAATCCAACAGAATTCCAGGCACCTAAAAAGTATCAGTTTTTCATCTTTTAAAGTTAAAAAAGTGGGCCGGGCGCGGTGGCTCAAGCCTGTAATCCCAGCACTTTGGGAGGCCGAGACGGGCGGATCACGAGGTCAGGAGATCGAGACCATCCTGGCTAACACGGTGAAACCCCGTCTCTATTAAGAAATACAAAAAACTAGCTGGGCGAGGCGGCGGGCGCCTGTAGTCCCAGCTACTCGGGAGGCTGAGGCTGGAGAACGGCGTGAACCCGGGAGGCGGAGCTTGCAGTGAGCTGAGATCCGGCCACTGCACTCCAGCCTGGGTGACAGAGCGAGACTCCGTCTCAAAAAAAAACAAAAGTTAAAAAAGTGATTAATTTAATGGTTCATTTCTTAGTTAATTCAGGATTTAGGAAAAGTTCTAAATATTAAGAAAATTTTTTTCATTAGATTAGATTTCTGTTTCAGAACGTCTCTAAACCTTTCCAAATGAATGAATTTAATAGAAATTCATTCTGATACATGCATGACTACAATAAACAAAAATGTAACTAGTTACAATTCAATCTTGGAAAAAATACCTTCCTTTCCTCAATGGTGTGGTAGAAAGAAAACCTAATGTGAAATCAGAGAAACTTACTTCTTCATGGCTCTTGCTATGCAACTGCTATGTAAAGCAATCAATGGCAAGAAGAAAAAAAGAGAGAAGACACGCTCAAGACAGCAAGACCTAATGGAACACACGAACGTTGGTTAAATCTTCATTGGAACAATTCAAATGTTAAAAGGCATTTTTAAGCAACTGGTGAAATTTGAATATGGACTATTAGATAATGCTAAGGAATTATTAGTAGTAACTTTTAAAATATGCTGTGTGTTTCCATTGAAGTTGTAATCTTGCTAGCAGAAATTGTATGCAAAATAGGTATTCAGTAGATGTTGTTGATGCTGATTTTGAATTGTAGTATTTCAAATTTAGGCTGAAGGTCAAGAAGCATTGGGAAATAATTTGTACCTTTTCAGAATTACTGAATTTTAGAGGTGGAAATGACAAGAGGAGTTATCTACTCAAAATAAATTTATCTTAAGCATGAGGAAAAGGACACGTAGCTAGACAGTGGTGGGCCTGGTCTAGAATGCAGGTTTCTGTGCTGAGGCCCAGATGATACCTCCTTCAGTGTAGCTTACACGGAGGCTCTGACAGCTTCAAAGCCCTCTGTAGCTCACAACTCAATTCTTTCTCCTTTCTCATTTAACTTTATAATCTTGCTCTTCCTCCCAACTCCATTTTCCATCACCAGGCATTTTAATTTATATTCACTTAACAACTTTCACTTTCCTTGGGAAAGCTGCCAATGGCAATGCTAGCTGAGAAGGAGTAATAATGAGCAAAGGAAAAACAAGGCAAAATTAGAAATGAAGAACAACGACGGCTGTTTAAGCTTTCTCTAGATTTATATACTTACTTCATCCTCCCGGCTTTCATGGAGACATGTTTTTTCTAAGCTCTGTCAACGGACACATAATAGCTTTCTATCAATCATATAGGTCTCAAAGAAAAAAAAAAAAAAGGTTTTAAGACATTGGTACACAAAGAACCAGTGCTGCTGAAATACTTCTCCCTTTCCATTCCTTTTTTCCATCCTTATCTGCTCTTTTCAACAGCTAGCATGAAGGCCAAAAATCAAAATATTATTTTGATAAGTCTTTTAGTAATAAATTGCTTTTTAAACTATGCACATGTATTACTTTAAAAATGCTATGTTTTAGAAAGCTGAATTATAATTATCCAGTACTCTGTTTAGCACCAAATGGAAAAATTAAAAACTCAGCTTGAATGCTTCTGAATTTATAAAATAAGCCAGGCAACCCTAATACGAGTGTGGACAGATAATATCAGCAGTAAGTTGTACCAATATATCAAATACTTTAAAGAAGGATAAACATATAAATACAAATGAATAGACATATGGGATTTAGTAAGTACAAACTAAGTAGAGAAATGTGTGTTTCTGGGGCCTATTACAAAGGAATTATAGCTATCTTTTACCAAGTTCCTCTATCATGTTATACACTTACACTACACATACATTATCACTAATCCTCACAACAAGCCTAAGGGAGGACTGCCCATATTTTTTTTTTTTTTTTGAGACGGAGTCTCGCGCTCTGTCACCCAGGCTGGAGTGCAGTGGCGGGATCTCGGCTCACTGCAAGCTCCGCCTCCCAGGTTCACGCCATTCTCCTGCCTCAGCCTCTGAGTAGCTGGGACTACAGGCGCCCGCCACCACGCCCGGCTAGTTTTTTGTATTTTTAGTAGAGACGGGGTTTCACCATGTTAGCCAGGATGGTCTCGATCTCCTGACCTCGTGATCCACCCGCCTCGGCCTCCCAAAGTGCTGGGATTACAGGCTTGAGCCACCGCGCCCGGCAAACTGCCCATATTTTATAAATGAGTAAGAGGTAGGACCAGAATTTTAATATGAAGCTGTCTGACTCCCTGTTCATCTTCTTTCCACTATAACATAAAAATACATATGCAATTTAAGTTTAGGAAGGGAAAAGTTATGCTCTTTGCTCTTATTCTAATAGTAGCTCATTTTCATTTTTTACTTGAAAATTTTTTTTCTTTTTTTAATAACAGAGACGGGATCTCAGTGTGTTACCTAGCTGGTCTCAAACTCCTGGGCTCAAGTGATCCTCCTGCCTCAACCTCCCAAAGTGCTGGCATTACAGACATGAGCTACCCCGCCCAGCCAGCAGCTCATTTTAACCATGTTCCATGGTCCAGGCTAACATTTAGCTAGTATGCTCTGGTGTGGCATAAGGGCTAAAGGCTGTTCTGATTAATCAGGTATCTGTTCTGTTCGATTTGTGCCCATGCCATACTAATCATTAAATATTTTAAATATTACAACAGTCCACGGCACAGAACTTTCAGAATTTTCAATCAAATACTTATTCAGATACTTGAAATCATCCAAAACCACTTCTTATGACATATTTTCCATACCTATAGGTATCACAGGTCTACTTCTATGCAAAATTCGACTGGTCCTCTCTTTAAGTAATAATATGCCAAGATTCCCAGCTTTTATACTAGAAGCTTAAGCTTTGCCATATTTATATATATCAAAGCATGGGGCACATCTTTAAATCAGCAATACAAAATTACTGTACTCCAGGTTTTTGCCAGCAAGTCCAACCTTGAAATGATACCCTGCTTTTCTTGTCAAGTCAGGCTTGTAGCATTTCACATTTGGGAAGACAGTCTAATATACAGGATACTACCTGCACCTTCTTTAGTTCTTGCTATCATATTACATCATCAGAAAGTAATATATCTGGACATTAGCTTATGTCCTTAGATAAAAATGCCTACACTGTTTCGCACAAAGTTATAATCTTGGATTTTATCAAGATTCAATATAAGAAATGACCATATGGGAAAAAGGAAGCAATGGTATAAATATTTCAAAGACAAATCCAAATGTCATCATAACAAAAGTGTGATTTATTTCTGAGAGCTTACTCTAAATTTATTTATAAGTTAGTTATGTTAAAATCAGTTTGCCCAACCAGCATACATAAAGTGTTGTACAAGCTCCCTCAGCTGGTTAAGACATAGAACTACCAAAACACATGTTCCATTAGGTTAACTGCGTCATCCTCTTCAGAAATTTCTGTAACTGCAGCCTGAGATCGAAGAATAGACATGATGTCATTAGATAATTTGTCAAAGCCATTCTGTGAACATATATTTGCCACTTCTTGCCACCTTTCTGTGGAGCAAAATGAATCATTTATCATAAGACTTTCTACTGCATCTGTGGGGAAAAAAATACAATATTACAGTATGGCACTTATTTGATAATCCATACTTTAGTGATTTTTCAAAAATAGAAAAGGATATAATCTCAACTCAGTTACTGTTAAACTCTACCTGATTCCCCTAAGACTAATGATATAACATGCAGTGCTCAGTCTAGCTCATGGTAAGTATTCATGTTAGTTCCTTCTCCTCCTCCCTTATCATTAACCTCTTGATGTCTCAATTCAACCCTTTACCACTTCTCACATTCCACGTCTCCACTCATTGCCTTCTTGTTATGGTAGCATATGTTGAAGGCTATAAGGCAGGAGCTCAGAAAGTGATGAATGTGGGCTCATTCTTATTCAAAGAGTCTATAAGGCACCACTAGAAACTATCAAATAACTGTGGACCTATAGGTGAAGTTTTCATGATTTCAAACACTTATATAAATGCCTTAGTGCTGCTAACCCAAGGACTTAAGAAACTCTTTGACAAACTCTTCATCCTGTCTCTAGATGGAGACCTCTTAATGATGGGGCTTCTATAACAAATATTTTTCTTAAGGAAATAAAATCATTTTGTTAAAGAAATTTAATATTATTTACTTTTAAAAATATCTTAGTGATCTATCAGTTTATGGAACTCATTTCTTATCTATTACCTGCATTACTTATGGTACTTCATAAAAGAGGATCACTTTTTAGAACACTGTCATCACTATAATTTTATTTCTACCATAATTATCATTTTTCTACAAAAATATTTTAGTTGATATTTGTAATGATAATTTCAAAATATAGTTATCTTCCAAAATATGTTTTCAAGTAATTTAAAATCAAGTTGTCTGCTCAACTTCCTATATTAAATTAATGAAAAGAAAATAAAAGTGAGTTTTAATTATTCTCTCTCTCTCTCTCTTTTTTTTTTTTTGAGGCAGGGACTACAGTGGCACAATCACGGTTCACTGTAGCCTTGAGCTCCCTGGGCTCAGGCGATCCTTCCACCTCTGCCTCTTGAGTAGCTGGGACTACAGGTGCATGCCACCACACCTGGCTAGTTTTTGTATTTTTTTCATAGAGACAGGGTTTTGCCATGTCACCCAGGCTGGTCTTGAACTCCTGAGCTCAAGCGATCCACCCACCTCAGCCTCCCAAAGTGCTGGGATTACAGGGGTGAGCCACCACACCCAGCCTAATCAGTTATTCTCTAATCCACAGCAGAGTTAGGTTCAGAGTGAATATCATATGTGAACACACAGACATTTGGTTTAGGAATTAAAACATATAGTTTATATCTACATAACATTTAAAATACATATAAAAGATAGCTAAATATACACATGTCAATATATATAAAGTTTTTAGTGTTAGTGATTACAATTATTGTAACATCTCCCTCAGGCTTCATAAAGATTATCTCTTCATTTTAATTCTCTCAAGAAACATCCTATTGCCAACGGATTATTATTTACATGGCAAACTTTATATTTATAAACTCCTAAAGTTAACTCTTGCTAAGAAGGAACTCTTAGGGAAATTTGAGTTAACTCATGCATAATCATCTTGAACCTCTCCCTAAATAACCCACTACTATTTCTTCCACAACATTTTACTCTACTTACCTATCCCACCTTTATTTATTTCTTGAAGTAGCTTAATGCCAATTTTTTTCTTATCTACAGAGAACAGATGAAGTATGGCAAGACCAAAAGATAAAGATGTTTGTTTCTCATTCAACTCTTTAGTGAGACACTGAATTAATTCAATTTGGGGACATGACATTAATAGCTGCAACAGGTCATCTGAAGGCAAAAATGAAAGAACTTTATCTCAACATCCTAACATGATAAATCAACTAGAAACTAGGACTAGCTAATGTCTATACCCGCCAATCAACAGTTTTTCTAATCCTTTCAAAGCCCTCAATGACCCACTCCAACCTAAACTCAACAGTACTATCCCCTAGCCCCCCCTAAAAAAAATCATGCTCAGCATAGCAAAAAAAAAAAGGAAAACTACCCATAAGAGTCTCCAAAATACAATCAAATAATTATAACGAAAAGAAATGTGGTATAATAAAAATATAGATTGGCTATCAGGAAACCTGAATTCTAATCATAGCTCCATCAGTCACTTACTCTTTTGGAACTCAGTTTTCACATCTGAAAAGCGCTAGAATTGGATATAATTTCTTTTTTTTTTTTTTTTTTTTTTGAGACAGTCTCACTGTCGCCCAGGCTGGAGTGCAGTGGTGTGATCTTGGCTCACTGCGAACTCCGCCTCCCGGATTCACGCCATTCTCCTGTCTCAGCCTCCCAAGTAGCCGGGACTACAGGTGCCCGCCACCATGCCTGGCTAATATTTTGTATTTTTAGTAGAGATGGGGTTTCACCATGTTAGCCAGGATGGTCTCGATCTCCTGACTTGTGATCTGCCCGCCTCGGCTTCCTGAAGTGCTGGGATTACAGACGTGAGCCACCGTGCCCGGCCGAAGTGGAGATAATTTCGAAGGTTCCATCTAATACTACAGTTTGTTTGTCTATATCTTGTTGCTTATATTTGGACCAAATTCTGGTGAGTATAATGTCTTTCTGTGCCTTGCACAGAAAATGCAATTCAGTAATTTTTTTCCTAAAACTATCAAGTATTTAGAAATTCAAAAATGAAAACTTTAAGAAGCCATTAGCTATTTCAAGTAGCTAGAGGTGGAGCCATATGAAGTTGTCTATATTTGACCACAAAAAAAAAAAAACAATTCCATATGGGTTAATCTACTAGTTAACCACTGAGGTAATCTAAAGCTACAATTATGAATTGTATTCTTAAATTTTTTCAAAACAAAGTCTCACTGTGCTGCCCAGGCTGGAGTGCATCACTCATCATAGGCATAATGGTTGTGTACTATATCCTCAAACTCCTGGGCTCAAGCAGTCTCCCGCCTCAGCCTTCCCAATAGCTGAGACTACAGGCATGCACCACCGTGCCCCACTCTATAGTCTCAAATTTGTAAAGTTTGTATTAACTTCCTAAATTTTTTTAAGTAAAAATATTATTTTGGGGCCACAATAGAGGTAATTTTCAGAATAACTTTGAGAGCCTTTCAAGAACTACCATAAACATAATTTAACTCTGAAAGCCTTGGGTTTTTAAAATGTATTTAATATATAGAGACAGGGTCCCACTATGTTGCCCCAGGCTGGTCTTGAATTCCTCATATCCCTTTCGCTTACTACATTTCAAAATCCATTTTCTTTTTAAAAAATTATTATTATTATTATGGGATAAGGTCTCACTCTTGCCTAGGCAGGAATGCAGTGCCACAATCACAGCTCACTGCAGCCTAGAATGTCTGGGTTCAAGCGATCTTCCCATCTCAGCCTCCTGAGTGGCTGGGACTACAGATCCTATCCCTAAAATTTTTAAATTCTAAAAGTAATTAAAATCTATATCCCATGTCTAAACATTAACTAATATAATTCTTACCTATGGAAAAATAATAGTTAACAACACAGAAACTGAAACTGTATACTTAGGTAATGGAATATTAACTAATACCTACTATGCCAGATTCTGTCCTGTCACTACACAACCAAATCACTTACCTCTAGCTGTGCCTTAGCCTCTGTATGGAAACATACTATTTTTTTCATCTATAAAATGGGACAATAACAAAATCTACCTCATAGAGTCAAAATAAGGATTAAGTGAGATAATCCATGGAAAAAAGCCTAGCTATTATTACAATAATAGTATAGGGCATGCTGCTATTAACGAAGAAATTTGTAACTTAAAAAAAATATAGATTCTAAGAAAAAGTCAATTAATTGCTTGAAAATGACCAGATTCAACAACCACTAAAACTCCTTTTTCCTGGAAGAATGTGACCTAAAACAGCTATGTTTGGTTCCATTTTGCATCTTCTTAGAACTGGGATACACAGCCTGCAAATCAGGACGGGCAGTGGCCTGGGAGATGGGGAGATGTCAGCAATGCCTGTACTCAGAGTTATTGCCAAACTAGATCCAGAGTAAGAGATCTGCTCATCCAGCTAGGGTCACCCTAAGGTCCACAGTTCTCTTAGATGACTGCTCAATTGTAATCTCAGATTACTGCTCAATTGTGTTTTAAAATTTTGAACTAAATTAGAAATTCTTCATTTCTAATGCTTATATTACACTTCAAATATATCACAGGCTGGGCGCGGTGGCTCACGCCTGTAATCCCAGCACTTTGGGAGGCCAAGGTGGGCAGATCACGAGGTCAGGAGATAGAGAACATCCTGGCTAACACAATGAAACCCCATCTCTACTAAAAATACAAAATATTAGCCAGGCGTGGTGGCGGGTGCCTGTAGTCCCAGCTACTTGGGAGGCTGAGGCAGGAGAATGGCGTGAACCCAGTAGATGGAGCATGCAGTGAGCCAAGATTACGCCACTGCACTCCAGCCTGGCAACAGAGTGAGACTCTGTCTCAAAAAATAAATAAATAAAAAATAAAATAAAATATTACAAATAAGTTATTTTTAAAAATCACATATGTAGTATTCTACCCTGTATAAATTTATCTTTAAAACTGTATATTTCCAGGACTATCTGGTTTATTAAATGTTTTTATTTTGAGGAAATACATAATATTTTTGAACATCTAGCATGAAAGCCAATCAGCTCCAGCTTACCTGTGTTCATGAAAAATTACAAAACAAATTTCCCACTTATTGGTATATATAAAATTGATTTTATAACGTAAGTTTAAAGTAGTGCCTGCTATCATGGGTAATTTTACAATTAAAGTCCAGAATTCAAATGTATACAAATGGCAGACATTTTAACTTACCGGTAGTAAAGTCCTTGAACTGCTGTATGTACTCCATGACCCTATGAGTCTGACCCTGTTTACACAAGCAAAGAATAGCTTTCTTGTGCAGGCCACATTCACTGTAGATAATCTGAGCTAAAGCCAGGCACTTGGCCTTGTTATAAGTATCCTGCTCCCCATAATCACAAATCACATCCCCAGCCTCCTCAGAAAATGTCAGTCTAGAACAAGCAGATCAATAAGACATACGTTAGAAAATTCCTGATGAGTGGCTGAGGCTGAAATATTTGAAAATTCAGCACAGTAGAACTGGCTTTTCTACTGCCTGCAAGAATTCCAAGTTACAATTTAATAGGCCATTGATTATGTAGGAGAAATTAAACATATCTGAGATTTAACAACAACAACAACAAAAAATCAGTGTGTATTCCCTTGGAGGAAGACATTTTGGCTCCTCAAAAGCTCAAGTTTCAAAAAAAACCACAAACAAGATTAAAACTCTCCTAAAAAGACTGATAGGTCTAAAAATTACGAGGTAAACAAAAATGCTCTCATAATTGGGGGTCTTAATATTCTCAAGCAGTTATCGAGATTCTAAACCCTATGGAATATAAAAGCTTATTAAATATTGGTTATAGTGACAGCAATTTCAGCTCATAGAGGTAGATATTGCAAGCATTTTTACCAAAAGTAAAACAGAAAGTGTGACAGCACTGTTATTTTTTAAATTTGTTATAGATTTATAAGAGGCAAGAGGGGAAAATGGACATAATTGTGCCTATTAGGAAAGACCGAAGAAGCAGTTCTTTTGAAATGGGTCAACAGAATAGATTTCACTTGTCCTATTTTAGTGTACCACCTTTATACACAACTGAAGTTAATCATCTGTTGTACTATCAGAGTAAATTCCCTAGAAACTATAAGCATAGCCAAAAGAACATCTGTGCATGATTAAAGATATCACTTCTAATTACTAATGGTATGAAAATTATACTTTATGTTTTTAATTAATAGCTACAAAATAACGGCAATCGTATGATATTGGTGTCTGTATACATCTAAAAATGCTGGTAACATTAAAATGAAATCCTGAACCCCCTACACGATGTCTCTTTACTGAAAATTCAGTAAATAAAGCCTTCTGTGTTTATTGGGGTGGGCAGCAGAGGGGGGAGTCTAAATCAAAAGGCAGCTTGAGTACAAATCAATTATTTAATTAAGCAGTTCTCTGATTTCCACACTTTAATACCAAAATAAAGGTTTTAGTAGCTACAGTTGCGACAATTCCTGAGGCTGAACAAGTTAATTATTTCAGTCTATGTGGTGACTGAAATACTGTAGCAAAATCATAACGCCAGTATTTTAGTATTTATTTATCTTACTAATGCCATTTTTTTTAAGGGTCACCACCTCAGAGAAGGCCAGGGCTGGGAAGGGGGCCAGGGAAGTTCCCTCCCCCTTTTTCCCTCCAATCACCTCATCATACCCTCTTTCTGTTTTCCTAAAGTCCCCTTGTTGGGTTTTCTCACCCTTACTCCTAACTCAAAGAGGACTGTTTCTGGGACTTCTGAAAGTGGATCTGAGACCAGGCTAGCTCTGGAGAATATGAACAGCTAATAAATAAAATAAAATATGCTTAACCCCACAGTAATCTAAGACATATTGGATTATAAATTTGGTTTAAAAATTTTTAATGTCGGCCGGGCGCGGTGGCTCAAGCCTGTAATCCCAGCACTTTGGGAGGCCGAGACGGGCGGATCACGAGGTCAGGAGATCGAGACCATCCTGCTAACAGGTGAAACCCGTCTCTACTAAAAATACAAAAAACTAGCCGGGCGCGGTGCGGGCGCCTGTAGTCCCAGCTACTCCGGAGGCTGAGGCAGGAGAATGGCGTGAACCCGGGAGGCGGAGCTTGCAGTGAGCTGAGATCCGGCCACTGCACTCCAGCCTGGGCGGCAGAGCGAGACTCCGTCTCAAAAAAAAAAAATAAAAATAAAAAAATAAAATAAAAAATTTAAAAAATAATAATTAAAAAAAATTTTTAATGTCAAAATAAAGGTAATATACAATCTCTAAATCCATGCATAAAATTTATTTACTGTTACTTTCTAGGATTGAGTTTGCAAAGTTAAAATTTCAGAGGATATTTATCTTCTGGGAGCAATGTCTGCAATTAAGAGAAGTAATACCAGTAAAGGATGGTTCCTTAAAATTTAGACTTTGTAGACCAAGTGATTAGACTTTTCACAGGTAAGAATGACTAAGAGAGCCATGATTAGCCCATTAGGCAGGCTGCTAAAGGGCTAGCTCTATGCTGAGCTTCTGGGAATGAACTGGAAGGCTTTTTAAGGTAGCTATGTGATAGAGGCCAGATAATCAGAGGCAGAAGCCAGGAAACAGAGACTAAGTATGAAGAATGTGAATTGCCTTTAATATTCCCTGTTATATTATCTCAGGATCCTTAAAACTAGTGGCATTTCCGGCCGGGCGCGGTGGCTCAAGCCTGTAATCCCAGCACTTTGGAAGGCCGAGACGGGCCGATCACGAGGTCAGGAGATGGAGACCATCCTGGCTAACACGGTGAAACCCCGTCTCTACTAAAAAATACAAAAATCTAGCCGGGCAAGGTGGCGGGCGCCTGTAGTCCCAGCTACTCGGGAGGCTGAGGCAGGAGAATGGCGTAAACCCGGGAGGCGGAGCTTGCAGTGAGCTGAGATCCGGCCACTGCAGTCCAGACTGGGCAACAGAGCGAGACTCTGTCTCAAAAACAAAACAAAACAAAACAAAAAACTAGTGGCATTTCCTCAATGCATGTAGTCACAGAACTGCATAGTTATTAAAGAATTTAAATTCTTACAACTAAGAGGTAGAATGGGTCAAGAACCATCACTATGTGTAAGAAACTCAGTCTTATCTGAAGTGTCTTTGCACTAGAACTTTTTAAAACAGGTTTTGGTAAAGAACATACACTTTCTGATGATGTCATCAAGTCCAAACCATTTCCAGTGCTCCCTGATAAGTACTTTTTGTGGAGGGTGTAGAAACATGATCAGGCAGAGAAAGAGAGAAGGGCGCAAAGAGAGAAAAGAAGGGCATACATATGAAGAAGAAATCTCCTAAAGCAAAATTAACAGGCCAGTCACGGTGGGTCACGCCTGTAATCCCCAGCACTTTGGGAGGCCGAGGCGGGTGGATCACCTGAGGTCGGGAGTTTGAGACCAGCCTGACCAACATGGAGAAACCCCGTTGCTAGTAAAAATACAAAAAATTAGCCAGGCATGGTGGCGCATGCCTGTAATTCCAGCTAATCAGGAGGCTAATACAGGAGAATCGCTTGAAGCCGAGAATCAGAGGTTGCGGTGAGCCGAGATTGCACCACTATGCTCCAGCCTGGACAACAAAAGTGAAATTCCATCTCAAAAAAAAAAAAAAAATTAACTATTATGTGGACAGTAAATGAAGGTCATAATAAGAATGGGTGGGAGAAACACTTTGCACTGGTAAATAGTGCCATCAAGATAGCTTTATCAAGTTGTATAGGGGAAATGGTGGATTTGAAATGAGTGGTAGTAGGTAGTAGTATGCAAACCTACCATTTTTATGTTTGGGACATTTCTAAGTCATGACTTTATTTAGGAAGTGCTTGCTTACTAATGTCCATTTATCTCTTTATGATATCCTTCTTAAAGATGAGAGCTCTTCATTATTCCCTAGTATGTGTTCTACATCCCTATGCATTCAGAGCCAAGTAAGCACAGCCCTTATGCTGCCAGCAGCAGGCTATAACTACTAGACAGATGACAGGGAGGCCTTTCCCTACTCTGCCTTCCAATATGCACAGCCCAGCCCATCTTCACAAAGACACAGTACAAGCAGCTGCTATCTATTCTCTGACAGATCTTCGTAAGTTGTTTCGTTGTTATGGTAGACACTGTTCTGGTGCCTCATCCAGGTCCCATTTACTGAACTGGTGCCCCTTCTCCAGCTGACTACTAAGAGCTCACAGTTGCCCCCTTCTCTGAAGAATTGTCCTCAGGTGTCTGTAGCCTCCTCACCTAGAAAATTATGCCTATCCACAACCCCCAGTAGTCTACACTCAACCCCCAGGGACTGACTGATAGGGGTTACAAAAGGCCAGCCCCTTAATAAAAGGAAAGAATTCTGTGTAATGTCTATGCTCTATAACCCTCTCCCTGTGATAATGGCTAATACCAGACTTGAACTGAGTTCACATCCTGCTTGGCTCTTTTCTAAGTCCTATCCTATTTCACTCCCCTTAAAAATTTTCCTGAGGAGTAGTTTATTAGTAAATGATCTGCACCCTAATCTAAGTCTTAAGTTCTCTTCAAGGAAATAGGGAACCTTAGTGCCAAAAATATTCCTTTCTGCTCCATTATATAGCAACAGTCCTACCTGTTTATGATAATCAAGTCAGTCAAAACTTCCTGACTCACAAACACTAAAGTTGCAGACATGGGAAGCACACATTTCCTGGGATGGTTAATTTTATGTGTCAACTTGACTGGGCCAGAGGGTGCCCAAATATTTGGTTGAATATTACTCTGGGTGTGTCTGTGGGGTATTTTGGGATGAGATTAACTTTCTCTTTTTAGTTTGGAAGTATTTGTTTTCAAATTGTAATGTCAATTTTAACAGTACTAAAAAAGAGATTACACTTATTATAATGAGTTACGTTGTTTGTCAATTTTTTTGTTGAGATGACAATGTTAATATATATACTTTTATTCATCTGATAAAGATGTCATTCACACATTCTATAAAGTTTCATTTTAATTAATGGTTTCCTTCTCTGACATTAGTGCTATTACCAGAACAGGAAATTAGAAAGTATGTCAAAAGCAATGCAAGCTTTTACTCTGTGGCAACTGGCTCTGTTGTGTAGGTAATACTTAACATTCCACACTTATTTTATTCTTACACTGGGAAAAACATTCCAGTGTTTTTTGTGAGAAATCAATGAGGGAGGGGCTGAAGACTATATAAAAATCTGATTTATTATAACAGCAATTTTAAATGACCACTCTAACAGAGTACATGACCTATAAGTGGTACTAGAAAATACTGACAGACTTTCAAAATAAATTTAACATAATTCGTTTAATAATTTTCTCATTTTCCCTAGTGTATACTTTTGTTGTTGTTGTTTGTTTTTTGAGACAATATCTAATTCTGTTGCCCAGGCTGGAGTGCGGTGGCATGCTCAAGTTCACTGAAGCCTTGATCTCCCAGGTTCAAGTGATTTTCCCACCTCAGCCTCCTAAGTAGCTGGGACTACAGGCATGTGCCACCACGTCTGGGTTATTTTGTTTTATTTTATTTTTTTTATAGAGATGAGGTCTCCTATGTTGCCCAGGTTAATCTTGAACCCCTAAGCTCAAGCAATCCTCCTGCCCTGGCCTCCCAAAGTGTTGAGATTACAGGCATGAGCCACCATGACCAGCCTTCAAATTTTCTTTATAAGCTAACAAAACTGATTTTCTTGTTTTGTTCAAGGCTTAACAAAATTCAAAACATTTCTAAATAAAAAGTCAATGTCTGAATAAACTGTATAATTTTGCCAAACATGGTAATTTTAGGTGCATGGGAATAGGCTCTCAGGCCCTAAGATGGGTTCTTCTTCTTCTTTTCTTTTTTTTTTTTTTTTTGAGATGGAATTTCGCTCTTGCTGCCCAGTCTGAAGTGCAATGGCACAATCTCGGCTCACCGCAACCTCTGAGTTCAAACGATTCTCCTGCCTCAGCCTCCCAAGTAGCTGGGATTACGGGCAGGCGTCACCACATCCAGTTAACTTTGTATTTTTAGTAGAGACAAGGTTTCTCCATGTTGGTCAGGCTGGTCTCCACCTCCCAACCTCAGGTGATCCGTCCGCCTTGGCTTCCCAAAGTGCTGGGATTACAGACGTGGGCTGCTGCAACCAGCCAAGATGTGGTTCTTCTTTGTGTGAAAATTGAAGACTGACTCTGCCCTACCCCAAGGTATTCACACAGGAATGTTCTATGAAAGGTCTTTACTTGCTCCCAAGCTTATAATTGTGATAGATATGTATATGAATATGTATATCCCCAGTGTCAGTGTGTACTTACAATCATTCCTACAATTGCTTTATGGTTTGCTCATAATTATGAAAAGCCAGCAGGCATAGCGATTGTTCTACTTATAGCCAGAAGTATCCACGAGGAGAAAAAAAGCTCACAGGAAAACCTAGGATTCATTTCTTAGATGACCTGATAGGATTTTCACCCTTTGCAGCTGTGTAACTAGTGAGGAAAGTTCATAGAACTTTCTGGTTCATAGAACCAGAAAAGCCAAACATTTGGTTGAAATGATGCTGTTCTGTTCTCTGCTCTAGATGGGAGCCATCTTCCCGCAAATGTTACTTTAAAGGATCTCCTCTCCTTTGCCTATGTCTATTGATAACTCTTGTCAATTTCTATCACCCCGATAATAGTCAATATGAAAATAAAGTTATTTGGAATGTAGTTGTGTATTTGCTAAGAAAATTAGATTTCTACAGGAAACTAAATGCATATATATATATATATTTTAGACTGAGTCTCGCTTTGTCACCCAGGCTGGAGTGCAGTGGCGCGATCTCGTCTCACTGAAACCTCTGCCTCCCTGATTCACATGATTCTCCTACCTCAGCTTCCCGAGTAGCTAGGACTACAGCCGTGTGCCACCATACCTGGCTAATTTTTGTATTTTTAGTAGAGATGGGGTTTCATCATGTTGGCCAGGTTGGTCTTGAACTCCTGACCTCAAGTCATCTGCCCACCTTGGACTCCCAAAATGCTGGGGTTGCAGGCATGAGCTGCTGCACCTGGCCACCATGCCTGGCTAATTTTTGTATTTTCAGTAGAGACAGGGTTTCACCATGTTGGCCAAGCTGGTCTTGAACTCCTGACCTCAAGCCATCCTCCCAAAGTGTTGGGATTAGCGGCATAGGCCACCATGCCCGACCACTAAACACTTTCTGATTAATTGCATAGGGACCTGAAGTAAATGTTCAAGTAACATATTGATAAAACTATTAATATTTTTAGAACAAAAAACTTTATTAACCAAATGTCAAAATTAAGTTAAAAGCTTAATTTTGCTTACCTTTGCTGTGTAACCCAATTGATAACCAAATCTAACCGTTTTTCCGATAATCCACATTTGATTCCTTCCAGGGTTAGAGCTGCATCAACAGGACATCGAAAAGCATGACTTGTGATAAAGAGGGCCTCAAAAAATAAGAGTAATGGAAGAGGCTTTCCTCTAATTTTTCCAACAGCTACAGAAAGGAGAAAATTTTCTGAGTCAAATACTTTAAGAAATAGTTTGCTTTTTCTTATTTCATATTACTATTTTCGTGCCTTTGCTTTTCTAAAACTTTAACAATCTAAAATTACACATTTATAATTTTTAACTCATGCTTATAGATTAAACTTTATATTCTGGATAATGACTAAATATCATGGGCCATGTGAAGATGGAGGCAGAGATTGGAATGATCTGCTACAAGCCAAGGGAGGCTAAAAATCGCTGACAACCACCAGAAGCTAGGAGAGAGGCATGAAATGGAATCTCCCTTAGAGCCTCCAGAAAGAATGAACCCTTGACACCATGATTTCAGACTTCTGGCCTCCAGAACTGTGAGATAATATATTTTTCTTTTAAGTCATAGGGTTCTCCTGTTAATGAGGCCAATTTACCTCATTCTTTGGTCATAACCAAAGAAAACAAAAGGTGCAGCTGCAGATACACTGAGGATAAAATTCCTAATGCAAACTAACCTGCTCTAATGACCAATCACATGAGGCAAATATAAAACTGGACATTTAAAGGTATATACTTAGACTAACATAACCTAACTTGGAAAATAATTCAATGAGAATGACAAATTAGGATCCTGAAATTTACATGTAGATTCAGCCAGTGACCAAATAAAGTATGCCAATCCCAAATCAGCATGACTATAATTCATTTTTTATTAAGCTGTATGTACACTCAATGTTTGAACTTGCAGGGGAGGAAGACTGTTAATTTGAATTCTTAATCCATTAGATTATTTTCCTTTTTGTGAGCAGAAAATAAATTTACCACCATATCTTATTTCCTAGATTTTTATTTAGTTCTCCTCCTCAAAGTCAAGTGAGACAGTTTAGAGAGAACAACTGGATATGGATGTCTTGGAATTTAGAGAACAAAAAGACCAGAGCCTGATATTTGCCTGGAAAGTGTAAAGGTGAAAGGCTAGAGTGAGTAAAGAGAATTAAAGTACAAGCAAATTCTACTTCCACAAGATTGCATGTTCCTCCAGGGTGAAGGAGATTCCATGAAAGGCAGGTAGGCTGGTTGTCTTGAAAAGGCTCTCTTGGAGAGGTCAGATAACCCCACCTGAGAGTCTTTGGGGGTACACACCACCAGAAGTAGCTAAAGGGGAGTCATAAGCAGCCAGCTAAAGTAATACCTCCTGAATCAATAAAAGGCACCACGGAAAGTCCCCAGTGAGGGAAGGCCCTAAAAAGCAAAGACTAAAGCAGTCAACTAGGAGCCATCATTGGGCATCTACCACACCCAAGAAACATCAAAGCCAAATGACCACTGCACCAGTTGAGTAAGACCTTTCCTGTCCCTTATATAACCCCACTGTAAAGCTGCCTAGTGATTAGAAGAGGAGGGAGCAGCAGAGTAAAGAAGAAGCAAACATGTCTCCTGAGCTTCAACAGGTTCTAGAGCCAAACCAGAGCCAAACCAGGGTAAGGGGAAAATTTTTAGATTAAACAAGAGACTGCAGTTTCTATTTAGTTTAGACTAGACTTTTCGGTACCTAAACATAAAACTATTAATATCTGAAAGTGAGTGAAAAAAAGCTATGTGACATGACCAAGATATTATCCAATAAAATAAATAGGAACGTCAACACAGTCCTTTTAAAGGGCAATGGTGAGGAAGAAAAAAGTTGTTTCTTGCTTTGTACTCTATCAAGTCTAGCTTGAACTTTAGACTCTATCATGTCTAACTGATCTATGATCCAGTTTTATAGATATCAAAGCTGGTAAAACCAGAATAAAAATTGATTCTGCATCTGATTGAGGGTCTACTAATGAAATGTATGGATTTTCACAAGATAATATATAATATCTATTTTTTAATTGTTCACAGACTTTTTAAACTTATTTCTCAACTCTCAGATATACTGTATTGTAAATAAAATTAATTCTGAATAAGTGGTGTGGTGCTAAAAACCCCTAAAGCTTGTATAGTGCTTTGAAATTATCAACTGGTCTTAACCAATAACTCTAATAAGGTGGGTATCATTAAAATTCCTAGTTTTCTTTTCTTTCTTTCTTTCTTTTTTTTTGTCTTTGAGATACAGTCTCACTCTGTTGCTAGGCGGGAATGCAATGGTGCAATCTCAGCTCAATGCAACCTCTGCCTCCTGGGTTCAAGCGATTCTCCTGCCTCAGCCTCCCATTTAGTTGGTGCATGCTACCACACCTGGCTAATTTTTATATTTTTAGTAGAGACGGAGTTTCACCATGTTGGCCAGGATGGTCTCGATCTCTTGACCTGGTGATCCGCCTTCCTCGGCCTCCCAAAGTGCTGGGATTACAGCCATGAGCTACCACGCTCGGCCTGTTTTCTTTCTTTTCTTTTCTTCTTCTTTTTGTTTTTTCAGACAGGGTCTCACTCTGTCGCCCAGGCTGGAGTGCAGTGGTACGATCATGGCTCACTGTAGTCTTAACTTCTCAGGTTCAGGTGATCCTCCCACTTCAGCCTCCTGGGTAGCTGGGACTATAGTCATGTGCCACCACGGCTGGCTAATTTTTTTGTATTTTTTGCAGTGACAGAGTTTCGCCATGTTGCCCAGGCTGGTCTTGAACTTCTGGGCCAAGCAATCTGCCTATCCCAGCCTCCCAAAGTGTTGCTATTACAGGCACAAGCCACCACACCTGGCCAACATTCCTGTTTTTCAAGTAATAAAACTGAATTTCAAGTAGATAAAGTAGCTTGCTCAAAGAACACAATGCAAGTGTATACTAAAGATAAAATTGAAACAAAGGTATTGTGCCTCCTACCCAACATTTTATAACATTCTATCCTCTTCATGTTTTGTGATAAGTTAAATATATATACATTTACACACACATATGATGGCAGAAGATTTCTTAGGCCAGGCATGGTGGCTCAAACCTGTAATCTCAGCACTCTGGTAGGACGAGGCAGGCAGATCACAAGGTCAGGAGTTCGAGACCGGTCTGACCAACATGGTGAAACCCTATCTCTACTAAAAATACAAAAATTAGCTGGGCGTGGTGGCACGTGCCTTTAATCTCACCTACTCAGAAGGCTGAGGCAGGAGAATCGCTTGAACCCAGGAGGTGGAGGTTGCAGTGAGCTGAGATCGCGCCACTGCACTCCAGCCTGGGCGGCAGAGTGAGATCCGTCTCAAAAAAAAAAAAAAAAAAAAAGATTTCCTATACCTACTATAGATTAACAAGATTAAGGGCAATTCAATTAGACTTTCAGGTAAAGATGGCAGACTGAACACACACATTCAATTCTAGTTCATTAAAATCATTAAAATAATAGTAAAGGGATTTCTTAAGAACAAATTTAAAAGGAAATAACAAACAAAATTCTGAAAACCAGAAAATAGAGAGTGGAAACTAGCATAGAAGAGCCTTAAAAGTTTGATTCCTGGCTGGGAGCGGTGGCTCACACCTGTATTCCCAGCACTCTGGGAGGCCGAGGCCGGCAGATCACAGGGTCAGGAGACGGAGACCATCCTGGCTAACACGGTGAAACCCTGTCTCTACTAAAAATACATAAAATTAGCCTCTACTAAAAATGCATAAAATTAGCCGGGTGTGGTGACAGGCACCTGTAGTCCCAGCTACTTGGGAGGCTGAGGCAGGAAAACTGCATGAATCTGGGAGGCGGAGCTTGCAGTGAGCCAAGATTGCACCACTGCACTCCAGCCTGGACGACACATGGAGACTCTGTCTCAAAAAAAAAGTTTGATTCTTAAACTACCAATAAGGAAAACCAAGAAGAAGCAATCCAGTTCACACCAAACAACACAGAAAGCCTCAGGAATTGCCAGCACCAGGAACCTCTGTAATGAAATGAGCTGAAACTAGAAATCTTGGCTGAAAGGCTGTTTAAAAAGCTACCCCTCACCCAGTCAGATGATACCCCCTTCCAGTACCTAGAAAAAGCTGAGGATTATTCTCTGAAAAAAATAAAACAAAAGGTGTCTACATGAAGACAGCAGACACAGTTGAGTGTAGAAATGCCAAACTATTAATACGCCTTTTTTGAATTTCCAGAGAACTTTCTTCATATTACTAGAATCACACTACATATAAGCTCCATGATGCAAATCATTTTTGCAGGTTTTATTTTCTGCTACATCCACAGCACCTAGAACAATGCCCAGCGTATATTAGATAATCAATTTTGTTGAATGAAGAGTAAATGAATAAACAAATGAATGAGTTGGTTCCACACTTGTCTGTCTCTTTATCTCTCTTCCCAGTAAGTCCTTTATCTCATTGAAAGGATTAGGTCTTACTAATCTTTGTATCTTAATACCTAGGTCATAACAGTTTAAGCTACAGTTAAAAATAGTCTATTTATTAAAATTTTCTGAAAATGTTATAGGAATGTACTTCTGTGAACATTATTTTATTGGAAGCTCTGCTTCTACCAATGATATCTTTGAGCTTTAATATGTCTTAAAAACTAGGTTTTATACAAACTTTTAAAAACAGAAAGCAACTGTCTAAAAAATAAGTATTTTAAGATTTAAGTAATTTTAATCGATTCTAAGCTATCAAACTTCGGATGGGCCTTTAAAGATCTAAGACTCTGAAAACGTGACAGTGTGGCTCACATGGACTACTATTCCTGGCTATATCTTTCCCTCTCCTTAGATAAAATAAAACAACCTACATCCACATGGGAATGAAGTTTGAATTTCAGTTATGTATGTGATTCAGGAAGCCAAAGCCAAGAAATTAACGAAGATCAGTTTAAGGCTGTGAAACATCAGAGACCAGGCAGAGACAAACATAAAGCCTTTCCAGAGAATACATAGTAATCCCACAGTGGGGGAGAAATTACGTTCACAATATTATCAATGTAAAAAGCTTACAATATTATAAATAAAAATTATCAGTCACACAAATCAAAGCGCATCCATGAGCAAGAGTTAGGATACCCAATAATCTGGATAATTTATATACTTCAGAACTACACACAACTGACTATAAAAGAAAGTAT